AATATGTCCTGCCGTTGCCGGCTGCCATTTTACATTACAAATGCAAGCAATTGTGGCTCTTTTTTCAGGTTTTGATTAATGCTATCTCGTGAACCATGTTGACTGAACACTGTAACCTCACGATGCTGCAGTTAACACCATCTTAAAACCCAGAGAAGAACCTATCGGAAGACAAGATGCAATGAAAAGGAACAAGACTTTGGCCATCGCTGGAGCGATGTTTCTTGAGTTGCATCAGTCACATACAAGCCTGTCGGTAATCATGATTGGAAATGCCATGTCTTCCAAGCCAGCGGTTGTGGGCACGCGACATTTTGTGACATCTGACTTTCACCTAGACGGGTCAGATTTGGCATTTGGCTACTACCCCTGAAGGAGACGGAAGCGTGATAAATATACCCCTGCAGTGTGGCTTTCTGATTTTTTTTCAACAGAACGTGGAGCACATGCAAAGACGCGCTATCACGCTGAGTAGGTGGACCCAGTGAAGATGAAGTTTTCTCAAGGAGACTGATCGGGTGCCTGCCTTACGAATGTTTGCATTTCCTTGAACGTGCTGATTCTGTAATAAGGTGTTACCTTGTAACAGGACACAGTGTTTGATTGTAACCAGTGGGTTACTTTCCATGAGCTGGGGTTGTCCTAACCTTAACCTCTCCATGTTCAGAAACTTTATGGGTGTTATAAAAATGACACTCTCAGGGACTGTCCCTGGCCACATTGCATAAAAATTCAGGAGCTCCCTCCCCTTAAAAGGGTGTAGTGTCCTCATTTTTCACCATGATCAGATACGGAGGGCTATGTAAATCATCCACAGTGACAAAAGCGCCAGGCTGGCGCACCCTCCTTAGAAGTGAAGGGAGCAGTCATTAGGTAACAGATGATTAATTGTTCAGCCAAGCAACTTCAAGACAGTAAAAGAGGTTTTGCTTATACTAACTAGCAAAATTGATACAGACATATATATATATATATATTTAACTGAATTATAGTTGATTTACAATATTATGTTAGTTTCAGGTGTAAACCATCATGATTCAATACTTTTATAGATTATGCTCCATTTATAGTTATTATAAAATATTGGCCGTATTCCCTGTGTCAGACAATGTATCCTTGTAGCTTATTTATTTTATACATAGTCGTTGGTACATCTTAATTCTCCACCCCTATCATACCCCTCCTCCAACCGCTTTCCCCAGTGGTAACAGTTTATGTGCATTTTGATAAATTGTACACCTTTAATAATGGTATTGATAACCCTCTTAACCAGAAACATTGTTTTAACATTTATAATCATAAGAAGCAATACAGAATAATTTTAAAATATTTTTCAGCTGTGGCAAAGTATGCTAAAGGGACTTCTGGAAGAATTTCAAGCTAAAAATATTTGGAGAAAATTCTGCAGAGGTGATAAACTGCCAAAGAGAAACAAAATTCACAGAGGGGGAAAAGAAGCTGTTTAAAATTTCTGACTGTTAAAGGAGAGATGTTTTTTCAGATTTCTTTTTTACGTTGATGAGATTAGGTTTCAAAATGCTAGCAATCACATGCAACTGACGGTATTTAAAACACTGGCATGACAGTTTTATGTGTAAACTTCAGTATTCACAATGTGCCAGGAAGGCCAAGAACTTCTGCCATTCTCCCAGGAGGGGATGAAGTAAAACAAAGAGAAACAGATAATGCTTGGCAATCTGACACCATCACACCCCCAGTGCCGTTTAGCTGCCTTGAAAAGAGATGGAACTTCAGGCCTTGCTCTCCAAGGAACATGTGCACAGTCTCAGGCAGTTGCTTAAATATGACGGAAATCATTTTCCTCCTGTGGCAATCGACATGACAATACTCACCTCCAACACGTTTCTGTGGCATGTTTAACAAAACACATATCCACTCTCTTGTAGCTTTATTTTTTTTTAACATTTTTTATTGATTTATAATCATTTTAGAATCTTGTGTCAAATTGCAGCGTTCAGCACAATTTTGCAGTCATTCATGGACATAGACACACTCATTGTCACATTTTTTTCTCTGTGAGTTATCATAACATTTTGTGTATATCTCCCTGTGCCATACAGTGTAATCTCGTTTATCTACTCTACAATTTTGAAATCCCGTCTATCCCTTCCCACCCTCCACCCCCCTGGCAACCACAAGTCTGTATTCTCTGTCTGTGAGTCTATTTCTGCCCTGTATTTAAGCTTTGTTTTTGTTTTTTAGATTCCACATATGCGGAATTGTAGCTTTATTTTTGTTTATCTTCTCCTCTGATTTGAAAAATGTTCATCTTCTCCACTGTGAGAAACAAGAAACTGGCCAAATTCCTCTAATTATAACTCTGTTTTAAAAAGTGGGTTTAGCACATACAAGTGGAACTTTCTTTCTTTCTTTTTTGTTTGGAGGGGGAGATAATTAGGTTTGTTTATTCATTCATTGATTCATTCACTTACTTATTTAATCGAAGGACTGGGGATTGAACCCAGGACCTCATACATGCCAAGCACACACTCTACCCCGGAGCTTCACCCTCCCCAACACAAGTGGAAGTTTCTAAAGTCAACTTGTAAAACCACTGACATTGGACGTGCTGCTTCTCATCTTCTCCTTGGTCTGTCATTTTGATCGAAGAAGGACACAATTATATAACAACCATGATAAAACAGAGCGCTCCACTCCAGGTGTACGGGTGTACGGATCCACTTTTGTTTCACTGAGCTCCTGGGCGTGACTTGATAGAAGACCCAAAGTCTAAGGGTTTCCAAGAAAAGTGGTGGAGGGCAGGAAGTTCCACCCCGATGAAACGAGTGAGTCAGCCGAGACCTCTGTGATCACCGTGTGTGATCGGCCGCCGCCCAGCAGTCCCTCTCTGCTCAGCACGCGGCGGACAGGACGTCATCTTCCTCGTCACACCCACAGATAAGTCAGTGCTTCCCCTGGGGGGGAGTAATGATGCGAGTTATAAATGCACACAGCTGCCTATCATCTTAGAGCCCCCAAATGACTCCAGACCAAAACACACAGAGATCCATGTTCAGTGCAGCCGAAAAATTTGTCACCGGGGAGGCGCTAAATCCGGAGATTTCACCATGAAAGAAAGAAGAGATTTCTTTTTTTTCCCTGCGATTTCTCAGCTACAAAGAATATCCAGCGGCCCTTCGGTGTTCCTCCATGTCAACCCCACCCTGTCCTGTTTTATCTGTAATCCCCACAGGATCCCCCAGTGGCCACACATGTCCCATTCTGCCAGTGAGGAAGCTGGGAACCAGAGAGGTTATGCAACCGCCTTAAAGTCACAGAGCTGCAAAGCACCATGGCCCGGCACTGTTTGCAAGTCCTGCTGTTCATGGCCCACCTCCAGGACCGCCGTGCTTGCAAGAGTGAAACAAAAAATGATTACCACCAGAAGCGGCCTAGCAGTGACCCCGCTGCCAGATTGACATCATTCACAGATCCAAAATAGACGGCTTCTGTGGAAAGATCCATCCGTTTTTACCATTTGATGGCGTCTTCCCTTACAGCTCAGTGAAGCTCTGATCGCCAGTTTGCGGGCTGTGTCCAGATGGACAGCTGGGTCTGCGGTCTGGGGAGGGATCACGGTGCCCAGGGGCGAAGGAGACCCGCGGCATTCCGAGACCCTCGGGGCGAAAGGTGCCCTGACGGGCTCATTCAGGGAAAGGGTCACATCCAACCCCCGTCCCTTCTGGGTGGCTGAGAGCGGTCAAGCGGACGAGCTCGCGTCAACCACCGCGACGGATCAGAGAATTTACCCGAAGTGGAATTGAAGGCAGGTGACAGACTGACTTGTTCTGTTCTAAAACACGCATTTTTTTTTTTAATCCCCAGTTTCTGTTTTCCATTTCTTTCATTGTAGTAAAATCCACACAACACAAAATTGATCATTGTAACCGTTGAGAAGCAGATAATTCAAGGGTTTGATGCACTCCTTTTTTTCTATGATCGGTTAGTATGAGATGATGAATGTAGTTCCCTGTGTTGTACAGTAAGACCTTGTTGTTTATTTTATATACATATATACATTATATATATTATTTTATATACTATATATATACATATATATATATATATATATTTAGTAGTGTGTATCTGTAAATCTTGAACTCCCAGTTTATACTTTCCCACTGTCTTTGCCCCTGGTAACCAAAAGCTTATTCTCTATATCTGAGTCTGTTTCTGTTTTGTAAATAAGTTCATTTGCATCTTTTTTAAAAAAAATACATCCCACATACAAGTGACGTTGGATGAACATTTTCATATTATTCGACACCTAGACGCGTCTCAAAAGAATCATTCTTAACAGCAAGTTTCTACTGTACAGCACAGGGAACTCTATTCAATATCTTGCCGTAACTTATGGTGAAAACAAACATGGAAACAAATGTATGCACGTTCCTGTCTGACTGAAGCACTGTGCTGTGCGCCAGAAATTGACACAACATTGCCAACGGACTATAACTCAATGAAAAAATGCATTTAAAAGAAAAAGAGAATAATCGTTCTTACATAGGATGTCAGTTGACATATAGATTGCTGCTACCATCTGGGAGAACGGGTTCCCCAGCAAACAGAAAAGGAAAGAAAAAATTGGCATAAAACCGAAAAGGAGTTTGCACAACATAGAACAGTCCTCGGGTAGTTAAGTGTTAGTTGCACAGAGAAGCAATTGCAGGCTATCGGAGCTGTTTTGTCTTCTTTTTATTTCGGACACGGATGCCAGAGCTGGGGGCAGCAGGCAGTAGGAGGAAATACGACATTTAAGGACAGTTCAAGAGGGATTTTCAAGGCAGCCGCTTCCCCGCTTTGGGAGAGAACCAGCAAATGCTCCCAGTGAGGGATCAAAGACAAGGCGGGTGTCAGCCCACTTGAAAGTGAAGGAGTCACTGTTTGTAGTAAGAGCTGTTGGGTCCCCCTCCTCCCCTGCCCCCAACAAGTGATGCGTTTCTTTCGTAAGTGAGAACAGAAGGTCCTCTGTAGAAACCTGAAAAGGGCAGACAGCAGACGCCAGGCACTTCCCTCCCCTGCTCCGAGCAGCCTAACTTGGATTCTGCACAACTCCTGTCGCTCTGAGGAGTGAATCAGCCCGCACATGCGTGGACCAGACTGAGGGCTGCTGCTCAGAGCAAGGGCCGTGGCTCCCGGGCCGAGGAGCGAGAGGGCCGGCCCCCGTGCGAGCAGCCACCCGCTGACCCGCCGCCGGCCTGGCCCGAGCGCACCACTCAGGTAACCCGCTTCTCTTGAGCTGCTGGGGCGTCAGCTGCCGGCTGGCCAGTGACCCTGGGCGGCCGTCCTGGGCACGCACGCTGCCTGGCACGCTGTGGCATCTGGACACGGTTTAGAGGCAATTTTCCTTAAAAAAAAAATGGGTCGGCCGTCCGTGGGCACGCACGTCTGTCCTGGCACGCTGTGGCATCGTGGACTACGGTTTAGAGGCTAATTTTACCTTAAAAAAAAAAAGGGGAAAGCAAAGATACCATGACAAACTTTGCGTCGGGTGATTTCTAAAAGAAATGCAGAATTTAAACGAACTAGAGAAAGAGGGGCAAATAGAATTACTCCAGATGCTAAGAGATTTTGCAGTGTGCGGACAGGAAGTTCAAGAGATGCAGAGATCAAACACTGAACTGGGTCTGGGAACAGAGCCCGAGAGTCGTGGACGAATCGGGCCTACTGCCTGCGCTCTGGAGGGCAGCCAGGAGCCGGAGACGGGGTCCGCCGTGGGGAGCAGATCTCTCTCCCCTGGAAGAGAATCAAAGGCTCACTTAGGTGCCATTCTTCCTCGAAACGCTTTCTTCCTCTTTTTCTGTATCTCTTTAAAACTTGGGATAATAATTAGCAGGTAACCTTGTGAAAGTTTGAGGTGTACAGAGTGTCTGTTTGATGCACTTATATGTTGCAGCGTGATTGCAACACCAGGGTTACCTAACACCAGTCGCACGTCACATAATTGCCATTGCGTTTTGTGTGTGTGTGTGTGTGTGTGTTGCGAACAGCTAAGATCTCGTCTCTTAGCAGCTTTGACACTCATGTCACAGCAGCAATCGCCCGTGTTGTGCGTTAGCTCTGCAGAACGTCTTCATCTCTGGGTGGCAAGTTTGCACCCTTACACATCTTCCCATTGCCCCAGCCTCCCACCCCCCTGGGAACCACCCCCTAACCCGCTACGCTTGCTTGGTATCTTTCTTACCAAAAGTTTTCTCTGGCAGCAAGGAGCCAAGAGGAAGAAAATCAGGCAGTGTTTGAAGGGATAAGATACTGCCTTTCATGGCAACAGAAAAAGACACGCCTTGGGTGTAGCTAAATTTACAGAGCACAGCGCTTAAGAGGGAAGGCAGAGACGGGATAAAACTAAATCTCATCTGATCATGCAACCTGGACTGAATGGCTTATATAAAGAATCTGCTCACTCAGGTGGGACAAATACAAGGAGTCACATTCCCCAGAAGAGTCAGAAGTAGCCTGTAATCCACTTTTTCTGGAAGAAAACAAAAAAAGATTAAAATAGATACAAAGCAAAATTATTGTATCTATTTTACACCAAATTATACATTTTTATGTAATACATGTATACTGTGGGTTACATATTTCTATGCATACGTATTATAAATGTATTGTATTATAAATGTATATTATTAATATTATAAATATACTATATTATAAATATATTATAAATGTAATTATATTATATTATAAATGTATATTATTATATTATAAATGTATATTATAGTATTATAAATGTGTATCATTTCATATCTAAGTATATCTTTTAAAAAAATGCTCCTATAGATCTCCCAGGAGGTGGTAACTTGTAGCCAAAAGTTGCACCATGGACCATACTGAGGGCAGGGTGCTTGTCAATTGCATGAAAAGCAAGCATTTGCAGCCTGCCTCCCCGGCTCGCTCTGGGACGCGCCATCACAGCCGTCTACCTGTTACAGCAGGTCAGGTAGCCCCTCTCTCCCCCTGCCCAGTGTTCCGTCCCGCCATCAGTGAGTGGTTTCGCCGATGGTACGCGTCCTGTGGGATTCCGACTCTGCGACAATCTGGAAAAAAAAGCTATGGACACAGTGCAAGGACCAGTGGCTGTCGGGGGCTCGGGCTGGGGAGGAATGAACAGGTGATGCACGGAAGATTTTGGGGGCCCTGGATGACACTCTCACGAGAGGTACATATCATGTCATTACACCTTGTCCATCTGTGGGCTGTTCAACATCACAAATGAGCCCTCGTGCAAACTCAGGGCTTCGGATGATACAGAAAGCGAACGGCCACAATCACCGTCACCCCCCGTCCACAGCCCACCAGAAGCAAAGAACAGGCACCGACCTGGGTGGCTCCTGGACCTTGGTTCCAGACCTTGCTCTGTCACAGCAGGTCTCACCACGAGTGAGGGAGACCCTCGGCCTTGATCCCAAGTGAAAATGTCCCTCCTACGGAGGCACTGACAGCATATAGGGGACCGAGTGAACGTGTCCCGTGGGGATTTTTTGCTGCCCAAGCCCCATCCCAACCGCACGCATGGCCACCGGGCCACCACAGGTGCATCGCCCTGCCCTTGAGCTGAGGAGCATACAGCTGGCGGTGGCGTGGCACATACCCTGAGCTGGCCAGGGAGCCTGGAAAGAACCTGTCCCCTGCCTTGTGGCCAAGGGCTGACGTGCAGAGAAAGATCCGCAAACACCAGGCTGGCTCAGAGGGACAAGGACAGGGCCTCCACACAGCAGCCCGTGCCCTTGGACGCGCAGCCAGCCAGCGAGGAGCCAGCCTGTGCTTTCCCAGGGAGCAGCTCTGACGGGACACGGTGAGACTCAGGAGGGCTAATTGTCCAGGTGCCCGGGGACACACTACCTTTACTGAGTCTCCAGGGGACACAGAGCTAGAACGTGAACCAGAGGTCTGAGCCTCTCACCACATGGGAAAAGGCTGTCCCTGTTGTGCAGGAAGAAGCTGTTGTCACCAGGTCATTCTGTAGACAAGCAAATAGACGTGTCCTTTCTCCATCTCCTCTTACTGTTTTGCACACGTAGGAGTGCAACACACACTTTCTCCTGCCTCTTTTTTTTTTTCCATTTAAAATATATGGGATAAACTTATAGTTACCATGGTGGGAAGGGGTAAATTGGGAGCTCGAGATTTGCAGATACTAACTACTAGCCATAAAATAAACAAACAAGAAGTTTATACTGTAGAGCACAGGGAACCTTATTCAATATCTTGTAGTAACTGATGGTGAAAAAGCATATTAAAACAAATATATGTATGTTCCTGTGTGACTGAAGCATTGTGCTGTATGCTAGAAATTGACACAATATTGTGTTAACTGACTAGACATCAATTAAAAGATATATTTTAAAAAATAATAAATAAATAAAATACGCGAGGATAAAAAATATATATATTGGATATACACAGAATTAGGTCCATCCATATCGTGGAATATTATTTAGCCATGAAAAAGGAAGCAAGTTCTGACACAGGCTACAACATGGATGAGACTTGAGGACACTTCACTAAGTGAAGTAAGACAGACACAGAAGGACAAAGACTGCGTGATTCTACTTGTATGAGGTCCCTGGTGTCATCAGAAATTCATAGAGACAGAAAGCAGAAGTGTGGGTTTGGGGGAGGGTGTAGCTCAATTGCTAGAGCGCATACTTAGCGTGCAGGAGGTCCTGGGTTCAATCCCCAGTCCCTCCATCAAGTAAATAAATAAACCAACCTAATTACCTCCCTCAAAACAAAATTTAAAAAAAAAAGAAGTGGGGATGGACGGTGGGGATGGGCGCATAACAGTGTGAGTGGACGTGATGCCAATGATCTGTACATCGAAAAATGGTTAAGATGGTCAATTTCATTAGGTGTATTGACCACCATTAAACATTTTTTTAAAAATATGTATTGGAGATATTTCATATAAATATTTTATTACTTAATTTTACATCTTCCTTTAGACATTTACCGTCTGTATCAGGGATCTGGAATCTCTGGTCCGTTCAATAAACTCTCGCCTGTTTTTGGAAATCAGGTTTTACTGGAGGACAGCCAGGGTCGACGTCACCGGTGTGCGCTCCAGGGTCACGTCCACACCACGGGCCAGAGTGAGGCCGTAGAGGTAAGAACCACAGTCACAGCAGAAAACCCCAAATACTTATCATCTGGCTTTGGATAAAGACATGTTCTATATTCTTTTTTTTTTTCATTAGGACTCAGCAGTTAAGGCAGAGACCTAAGACCAGCTGGCTTTTCCTCATCGAGCTGGAGCAGACGTCCCACCAGGATAGACTCACTCCAGCTCTGGCCGCAGGCTACCTTCTACATCCTGGTCCCAGGTACGTTGTTTGCAGACTGGCTTCCTTCCATCCAAGAGTCGTCTCGAGGGCGTTCACGGCTTCCTCTAGGTGGAACACATCTCGAATTCATCCAGAGCTTGTGCAAGTAGGAGCTGCGCACACCGTGACCTCTGGGAGGTCCACGAATTCCAGAACCTTCAGCTGGAATGTGGCTCTGCTTACTGGCTGGCTGTTACAAGATTCAAGATCCGTCAAGGTCACACATGGCTTTTGGCAGCCACGCCTGGATCTGGAATGCGTTGGGGCCTTTCAAGGCTTGAGGAACGTTCCCTTCAGGAGGGAGATATCCCGCCCCCCCCCCCCCCGGCTGGCAGAAAACCGATCATCCTCCAACCTACGTTCCAGCTAACAAAGTCCGTGTTCTACATTCTTAAGGCAGGGTTGAGCGTTTTTAAAGCCTTTCCAGTCGGGACGCGCGCTCCTTTATGAGCCTTGCCTACCGGTTTTGTGAGGATTTGGGGGCCCTTTTTCATTGCAGACTTACTCACCGAATTAGTTGAATTTCTGCTACCTACGTTGGCATCAGCCTCTTTCTTTCTTACAGGGAACTGAAGGAGAGAGGACATGCTGCACCCAGAACAGTCCTGGTAAGATCGGATTATGTGCGATGCCGAATCCTCTGTGCTTGCCTGTTTCTTCCCGGCCCTTTCTCAGATGCATTGATAACAGATGGCTGTTTCTCAGTGAGTGGTTGGTCATGTCTCTTGCTGATCAGGTGTGGGGCTCACGCTTAATGTATGTGTTCCGTGCGCCCCGACCTGGGAGGTACCCCAGGCAGCTTCAGGGGGAATTCCATTCCACACTTCCCAGCCCAGCCGTGCATCAGGCCCTCCCATGGGCCGGGCGTCTGGTTTTCCTGGAAGCCCACGATGCAGAATTGCTTTGCGGAGTCAGATTCTGTCTTTATTTCATGACCCCGGGGATCGGAACCCCACTGTGCTGTTGTCCCTGTGCATGCTCGCGGTGGCGTCCGTAGAAGTATGAGTTGTTTAAATTAAAGACAAAAAAATGTCAAAGAGATGTATTCAGACTCTTCTGAAATGGGCTGATAATATCCGAGTCCCCTCAGATAGTGACCCCCGGCTTACAGAAGTAGTGTCAACAAAACGGACGGCAGCGTGAAGCCCTCTGTGGCCCCTTGTGTTTCAGGAGCTGGCTGGCCGTGGCCATCGGAGTGCTTCTCGCCGCGAAGCCCTCGGCTGGCAGAGATTATTTTGGCTCCCGTCCGAGCATCCTTCTTCTGATGGCGGACGATCTCGGCATTGGAGACGTCGGCTGCTACGGGAACACCACCATAAGGCAAGGGACAGAGGGCCCCCGGTGCAGAGGCCACTGATAATGCGTCCAGCCCTTGGTTTATGCAGTGCAGACTTTGTAGAATCCTGCACACACGTCACGCCTTTGAGCACCTTTCTCCCCGACACCTGCAGCAACCCCAGCCCAAATGAATCCTACACAGGACTCACCACCGCACTTTTAAATATGACCTCCATCAGCACAGTCTATAGTAGACGATGATTTTTTTTTAAATCATCACTATTGCCTGTAACCCAAAGATGAATAATATCAAGTTAACCTCGCTCTCCGACCTCCATCCATCAAGCCACGTCCGCCCACTCACGCACAGTTTCAGGGGTCCCTGTGCTACAGACCAGTCCGTGGCCTGCCCAGCCCAAGCCAGGACGTGCCCGTCTGCCATTCCTAGTTCATCTGTCGTAGGATAAAGTCACCCCATCACAGGTGATCGTGGTCCTTAAAACCCACACACGAGGCTGGGTCTGACCCCCGCCCTCAGGCACCGCCTACAACGTGCTGTCACCTTGCTTGTGGGGTAAACCCGCGCGTGCATTTGCCGAGGAATGAATGTTCACCCCTTCCCTTCGCAGGACTCCGAACATTGACCGCCTGGCCGAGGACGGAGTGGTGCTGAGGCAGCACCTCGCGGCCGCTTCCATGTGCACCCCGAGCAGGGCTGCATTCCTGACTGGGAGGTACCCTCTGCGCTCAGGTCGGTCCGCTCTTCTGTCCAGCCACACGCTGGGCACGAGCACGCTCTTTGGAACGTTAGCTAAGTTAGTGTGCGAAGTTCTCTTTAACTGAGAAAGTGTGCTTCCTCCAGGACGGTGCAAGGAGACTGGGCCAAGTCCCCTGGACGTTTACCGTCAGCTTGAAGTCATGATGGGCACTGATACGTCAATGCCATATAATTCCATATGCTATGAAATATACGACTTTTAATTTTTTCACCACCATGAAAAAAAAAAAGTACAAAACCATTCTTCACTCAGAAAGGGTGTGAAAACGGGTGGCCAGCAGGATGTGCCCCACGGGGGCAAGCTTGTCAACGCCTAGGGATGTATAAGGGATGTTAAGACATAACGAGCGGTATTGGGAGCATGGTTGTGCAAAAGTTTAAGTAACCAAATATGCCTAATCTGATGGAGAAGAAACAGGGGGGTCTCCAAAGGTTGTTTGCAAATCTCTGCCCACCCCATGGAAAAGGAATTTCCTTGGCTCTCTGTGGCCCCAAGTGACAGAACTGAGCCCCCTGAATGAGTTCAAAGAGTGACCTAGTTTGGCAGAGGTCCCAGGTTCAATCTTCAGTACTTCCACCGACAACAACCACCACAAACCTTCTGAACCCTCTGAATGAGTTTATTTATTGATGATCTACCGTCTCTCTCTTTCCCTGCAAAGAGATTTATTTTAAGGAATTGGCTCCTATGATTGTGGGGTCTTGGCTGGTCCAGAATCCTTAGGGCAGGACAGCAGGCTGGAGACTCAGGCAGGATATGATGTTGCAGAATTTCTTCTGTGTCTGGAAACATCAATGTTTGTGCCTAAGGCTGCCAACTGATTAGACGAGGCCCACCCACCTTAACAGGGGTCACCTTCTTTACTTCCAGCCGGTTGATTGTAGGTACTAACTACACCTACAGAAGGCTTTCACAGCACCACCTAGACTGGTGGACTCGTGTTGGAATAACTGGAGACTGTAGCCTGGTCAGGCTGGACAACCTGCTGACCTTCACTCACCCTTGTATACATGGTTCTCTGACACCCTCTCAGGGAAGACCTATTTAGCATTCACCTGGCTTTCTGGCACCAGACGCATTCTCGAAGTTTTGGGACGTCTCCAAGCTCTCCAAGTTCCCACAATGTGTAGTCACTCTCTGAGCCAGATGGGGCCTCTCGAATCAGACTGAGTTGCATTCATCAGAGAGGTCTAGGAGGCAAGGAGTGTCTTCTAAGTTCTTGGTTCTCAATGGTACACGGCAGAGCTCTATAAAAATACTGAATCCACATTTTGAAACGCTTGGGGACGAGGTCCTAGAAAGATCAAGCTCAGGGTAGTTTTTCAGCACACTACAGTCACCTGGGGGGAGTCCTTCAGCTGTCCCAAATCCCAAATTCCACCCCAGACCAACCAAAATCACAATCTCTGGGGTGATAACCAGATGTCAATATATTTTGAAGCTTCCCTCATGATCCCAATGTGGAGACAGGTTTGAATACCAAGCGTCGCATTAATTGATATATGAAAAAAATATGCCCTTATTGAAATGATGGTTTTGAAGATTAACATTATGAAAAATGCTTAATACAAAATGTCACAGGAAAAAAAACATATGGGATATTGGCTGTTTATGTGATGTCTAGCTATGTGGAGACTGGAATGAAAGTCAGCATAAAAAAAGCAAAGCATCAAAAACAAAAAGATAAAGATGATGATACCAAGTGATGCTTGATTGTAACAGTTCTTTGAAATTAATTGATCAAAGGTATGGTTTCCAGCAACGGTTACCGTGTTCTTCAGTGGACGGGAGTCTCTGGGGGCCTTCCTGCAAATGAGACGACTTTTGCAAAAATATTGCAAGATAAAGGCTATGCCACTGGACTCATAGGTACGTACGTTTGTTATATATATATTTTTTATTGAAGTAGAGTCACTTTACAATGCTGTGTCAATTTCTGGTGCACAGCACAGTGCTCCAGTCACACACGAACATGCATATATTTGTTTTCGTATTCTTTTTCACCGTAAGTTCCTACAAGACATTGAAGAGACTTCGCTGTGCTATACAGTATAAACCTGCTGTTTGGGTATGTGCAATTTTTTTAAGTATTAAGCACGTTACTTTTATATTCAACTAAAGGTTATGTCCAACCCAAAAGTTCGGAAATGAATAGTTGGGACACAGTGGGATTTCCCACCAGACAGAAAGCCCTATGCATGCTGGAATGACATCGATACCCAGGTTGCAAAATAGATGCTCAAGAAGTATCAGTTTAAGGAGGGGAGGGTCCAGCTCAGTGGTAGAGCGCATGCTTAGCATGCACGAGGTCCCGGGTTCCATCCCCATTCCCTCCATGAAATAAATAATAAATAAATAATCTGAATTACCTCCCCGTACCAAAAAAAAAACCAAGAAATTTCAGTTTAATGAAATATTTGGCATTTCATATAATTTGGTGAGGTGTCATGATTTTTTTTAAAAAAGAAAATGTTGTCTAATTTTACCAAATTACCAAAAAAAGTCCCATAATGCTGTTTTTCCCCCATATTCCCTATGTAGAAATGTGACTGCATAGATCAGGGCTTCCCTCTCTGCTTCTACAAATAGCACGCTTATGCCTCTGAACCTCAACACACCATGTTGCATAGAGAATGGAATCAATTTCGGGGTGATGGTTTCTTGACAGGGGACCAATTTATCACTATCATCATCGTGGTGTGGCGATAATTCTGTTAACCGTGTCATGTATTGATGACAGAGACCATGGCTAGCTCTGCAGCTCTTCGAATAGAGAAACCAGTAGATTCCCAGATATTCCTCGGGAAACCCCAGGTTTTCTGGATGACGGTCACCATCGGGCAGCTGAGAAGACACATGGAGAGTTTCTTTATCCGCAGCAGGCAGTCTAAGCATGTCCCCCTGACTGACCTTGAAAACTGGGCTCCGTAAAACCCATCACCCACCCTGACCCTGACTAGGACGAGACTGAATTAGCAAAGGGAGGCACAATTCTAAAGTCAGGAAGCCCCTTGGTCATGCTGGTTACGACAGATCGACTTCTCTAGGGTGATCTGGCCACTCCCTCTCCGCCTTGATTCTGGCTCTCCCATAGCCCTTTGCAAAATCAGGTGTTGTGGACTGAATAGTCCTAAACACTGGAAAACTGCAAATATGACCTTCTCTGGGGGAAAAATAGGGGGGGGGATTTTGGCAGATGTGGTTAAGTGGAAGATCTTGAGAGGGAGGGATGGGTTACCCAGGTTTCCTGATGTGCCAGGACAAGGGTCCTTTCAAGAGGGAGACAGTGAGCCATTTGACTGCAAAGAGGAGGTAGGTGATCATGCAGGCACAGGATGCACTGACGTGGCTGAAAACCCAGGGACGCCTGGAGCCCCCAGAAGCTGGAAGAGGCAGGGAGGACCCTCCCCTGGAGTCTGTGGAGGGAGCACTGCGTCGCTCACACCTTGATCGGAGACATCGGTCTCCAGGACGGGGAGAGGACGCATCTCCGCAGCTCGGAGCGGCCCAGTTAAGGAAATCTGTTACAACAGCACGGGAAATAGAGCTGCCACACAGGGCCTCATTCCCCCGAAACAGTGAGGCCAGGGCGCGGTGCAAACAGCAGCAGGCAGTGCCCCCAGCCCAGCGCAGCGCCCAGCAGGGTGCCTGGAACCTTCCGGCGCGTCGCCAGCACGCCGCAGCCGCTCGCCCCGAGCCGGGCGCCCCGCGCTCAAGCCCGCGTCCTCTCTGCCTTTCAGGAAAGTGGCACCTGGGGCTCAGCTGCGAGTCCGCCAGCGACC